ATGAGCACGTCTTTCTCTTATATAACTGGTAAATAGAGTATATTACTTAAGATCCTCTGTTACGGATTGCCCTGATCTAGCTACTGATAAAAGTAGAATGTGTACTGGAAACACATGCATCGGGTCCTTTTAGTTAGCTAATTGATCAGTGCTTGCTCAGTGCTTTGTGTTGATTCATATGATGATCGCAACCTAGATCTCGTGTATGTGTGATTTTTCCTTTGTCGTAGAAGGCTTGAGTGTATTTTTTCGACTTTGTCATATTTACATGAAGACTTAGATTAACCTACCTTGTGGTAAATCCGCTTTTATTGTAGTTGCAATATTGTTCTGGCGTCAGAATTTTTACAGTTAACATTTTTAGACGTTTCTGCTCCATCTTAGTTTGTGTATTCTGTTATATAGTCCATGCTTATTATCAGATTAGATATTGCTATAGTGTTTGCGATTTTACGAGGCATGCCTAACGCTTGGCCCTATCTTGAAATTTTAGGCCTCACGATATTTATTGACTTTGCTAGATTGATATTCTTTAAAATTATGATTAACTACCTATTTATTCTGATAGTAGTACTTGCATTCATTATGTCATTCTTGTTTAATCGTCTGGCCTTTTAAGCCGGTATTGTTTTATGATTTATCTTCCTTTTTCTTTACTTCTGTTGTACACACACTTATATGTGTTAAGAACGCCTACTATTTTGATATGCTACAGTCGGTGCGCTTTGAATGAATTGACTTCAGTCCGTCGTTAGATCCCTTGATATTGTTTTGATTCTCGGCTCTTGCAAGTTTGTGTGGGCCGAGTTCATTTGTCTTAGGGACTAACTAGTAAAAAAATTAAATTGTGGTTGTATGACCCTGGATTAGCAAACACTTTACTTACCAGATTAAGTATTTTTCTGCATGCTTTCAGTTTGTGAGATTTAGCGTCGGATAAAGTGCAAAAAGTATAGCCAGCTTTGCATACTGCCATAAATACTTAATAGGGACTTCTCGGCCTTATTTTATTGGCAACTAATATGGAGAATAGTAGCGTTGTATTCACTTACCCTTCTTTCTCATACGCAAAATTTTCTCTGGTATATAATAGAATTTACATTAAAATTTTAATTCTAGGCACTAGTTTGCACAAATATGTGTGTGTATTGAGGAAGTGTACGATAGCCAGGTCGGTACAGTCTCTTGTACAATTGCCTTTATCTATTATCTAAAAACCTGTTTATAGATTTTTGGGCACATTTCTTACAGAATCAATTATTCAAAGTTTTTTGTAAAGTTTTTTTGATAAGACAAGCAGCATTAATGGATAACCTTGGTTCCATTTGCTTTTTTGCACACCTTAGAGGAGGCTCAGATGAATGGGCATACTGTAATAATCCTATAATCCAGCTTGAATCCACTATATTCGACGTGCAATCACTAGACTCCTACCCGAATCCATTTATCACTCTGCGTAGCTCCTTCAACATATGCCTTATTTTCACCTTACTGCAATGTCTTCCAGACTACCAGCGTTCTTTCAATGGCTCTTCCCAATCTCGGACCTCGATGGCAGAGTCGGAAACAGTACGAATTCTACAAACCCTTTATCAAACACCAGTGCTATCAATAGTAGCTTTATTGAAAAGGCTGTCTTGTTCGTCAATGGGGAAGCGGAGCTGGCAGCGAGTGGCCTGACACCATTGTTTCGCTGGGAATGTGTATTTATGCCAGAAAACGGTGCCTTTTTTGTAAATTATGTCATCACGTCAGCCTTTATCGGAACAGCCTCTACTCTTGTTAGATTGCCGCAGCTTCTACATTATATCTTCCGTCTTATGTCAGCCAGATCCGAAGCTGAAACTGTGCGAGCCAGGCAGGTAGGCCTTGACATTTGCAAGCGTATCCATTTTTGGAGTAATAGGTTTAAATAACTAGATACTGGTCCTCCTTACAATACGACAAAATTGCATGAACGATGTGAAACCACTTCTATACTTTGAAAGGAGACTACGACTAAAATAAAGGCCACAACATCTTGGTTTAACTAACTGGAGCTCAAATATCAAGCGTCAGCTCTGATTTTTAATGTCGTTTCTCTGTTCTTTTATTTCATATACTATATTATATTAAATATGAATGCAACCTCAAACTCTCATTAAAAAAATCCTTTGAGCTTTCGACAATGGGTGCCTGAAATTTTGATAACGTTATACTATTTTCAGGTTATGTCAGTTTACGCATTACTCTTACCGAGGGCTTCATTCTAGGGTGCTATTTTCGCTTGGCCAACAATCATAGGACTTACTTGCGAAATCACACTTTTTATGCGGTCCCCAAGCCAGGCTCTGTTTTTTATTTCTTAGACTCTTTTCCTCACTCATCGTCACTTTTATATTTTAGCCCATATTACTATTATTTGCGATGACTGGTTTGGTGCCAGTTTCTTTCCCTTACTGAACCGATTAAGTCCGTCTCATTTTGACTTCTTTCTGCCTGAAGGAAGTTTTGTTTTTCAAGATATCCATCCTTGAGCAAGTCGTCTTCTCCTTTGCTGACTTCTTAATTCCTCTCATTCTTTTTGAATGGGGGCATAGTTGCTATTATTTCTTCTATCCCGCTCATTACTTTTCTTTAAATCGGGAGGCTCACTTATTACCCGGTTTCATACTCTTGTCTATCTCCATATTTCACTCGTAGCTCATTCGATCTGTTCCCTTGTAGACCGATATTGGCAACATTTTACACTAATATTAGAGTACTTATTATTTCGTTTGAAGAGGCAAGTGGAAGGAATTCGTAAGCTGTTTTCACCGGAAGCTGTAAGGGGATTGCCTTGGAGCTGTGATTGTAGATTTGCATGAATATGTCCTCAGGGCACCACCCCGCGACCCCGATGAATCCTGCTGAGCTTTCGTCAGTCATGTGACTGACATCGTCAGAACAGGACTCAAGGCTTAACGACAGTCCAACTTGGTTCACTCAATGAATAATCTCATGATTTTGTTGGATATCCTATGCTTTACCTAAATGCTTGACAATTTAACTATAAAAAGTAGCTAGGTTTAAAGGCAACCACTTTTCTTGTCTTAGTGCCTTAGCGACTTGCCGTTAAGCCTGGTGTGCTGCGCTAAAGATCTTCATCACATGACGAATGAAAGCTCAGCAAAGATTTTAGCCGCCGCAGGGCGGTGCGCCGAGGACCTATTCGCACAGCCACAACTCCAAGGGAATCCCCTACACCTTCTGTAAGACCAACTTACAAATCCCTATTGAGCTTACTTCCATTTAGAGTGAAAGTGTTGAGTGAAGAGATTCGAAGGTCAGTTCCACCAGGAGACAAGGTCGGATTCCTCTTGACCAGCTATTGATTGGCTTTACCGTAAGATTCATGCTGACACTGTTTCCGAGGTAATCTCCTTCGATTCCGGCGAAAAGGTGCTAAGCTTTCGTCCGTCATAGGAAGAACATTATCAGAGCAAGGTATCATCTTCACAACAAAATTCAAGCTAACGAGTCAAGAAAACTCACCAGCAAATTCGGTGAAATCCATAAAAAGTCGTATATATACTCTAAATCTGGCCTCTTTGATCAAGTATTAAGGGATTTGGTTAGTTAAGGTTATGTCAACTTGCTTCCTATGAGTGTGTGTGTCTCTGCATGTGTATGTGCTGTTTGTGTTCACTTATGCGCAAAACCCGCAGTGATGGCTCAGTGTAATTAAGACAGCACAAAGTAAAGTCTGTTTTTAGCCATCAAGGTTTGATGACCTCTATCTCACCCTTTCTACATACATGCTATAACCATCACTTCTATTGCGTAAGGTCGGACACTCGCCTGGTTTTGTTTATGAGCCTTTTTTGTTTTTGGTCTCAATGCGAGAGAGAAAGAGTGAGCTAAAAGTACAGAGAAGTTACTATGATTATAACCCAAACATGAAAAGACTATATTCGTATTGGAGTAGGGTTTCGAGACATCTCATTACAATGAAAAGACTAGTTGCGTCGCGTCCTTTTTGCAGGCGGGTCAACTCCCTCTATCCTTCAGTCTATTAATTAAGCACAAATAATTTTTACTTATCTTCTAACCAGCATTCCTTACT